CAAAAATTCTCATTGGAGAAGAGGTGAAATATTGAGTTGGGAAAGGATAAAGGTCAAAACCACAGTATGTAACTGCCTGACAAAACCATTTGAGGTTTTGTGGTATAAAAGTGACAGGATTCTTTTTCATAAAATAATCACACACTGATACTGATGTAACTATAAAGATCATTATTCCTCTTCTTGACTCAGCAATGACAAATGACCCAGAAAGAAGCATCTAAAGTAATAAGCAAGTTCAATGATAGCTTAGTCAGTAGTGGTTGAAAACAGAGCAGTTTGAGACCCACAGTATTCCAGCAACAGGTCTGCCACTGAATGTCATTTTTTGTTGCCCCGTGATTCCCTTAAGAGCAGCTATGAAAACCATGTTTCCATTACTCTCCTCTCACCTCCAAACTTGGATACACTTACTGGGAACTGGAATCAGAGAGGAACTAGTATTAAATGGTTTAGAGCATCAGACTACTTAGGAATTGTAAGCTAACGTTAAATTCCTCTGTTCAAAGACTTGATGATAAAAGCTTTAACTTTTTTTAAAACTACAGATTTTCTATGAGCAAAACAGGCTGGGCATGCCAGCACTTTCAAGCTGGTTATGTGTGAAACTTGCAGAATTAGTGCCTGAGTTCTAAAACATGCTGTATTTCTTGTCATTGTTTTATCATCTTGTGTTCTTGTAAAGCAATGGAGAGGAACAAGGATTTTGTTTGTTTGGGAGAATTTCTGTTTGTTTGTTTTCTTGTTTGTTTTTCTCTGAAATGAAGTTGCCAGTATTTCAACAGAGGGAAAAGGCTCTGCAAAAATGTGTGGGTGTGCAGAATATCAGGAAATTATACTCAGGCAGTTGAATCCCCAGGGATGGATCTGCTTCTGGATTCTAAGCCTTCTTGTCCTGAGGGGCGCTGCTCTTACCAAAAGCTTGTACATGGATACGGAACTTGTATCACTGTGATGCAACTTATTTTGGGAGGTAATGAGATCAGATAAACCTCTCTGTCCTCAATGATAAGGATAGAACAAGGCATGAAACTCACTGGACTGGCACCTTTAAATGCTCAAGTGCTGCAAATTGTACTAAAACGTGCATGAGAAGAGCAGGTAAACACCAAATAGAAAAAAAGTTTCTTTTGTCTGGTACAGTTAAGAGCAGAAGCCAAAGTCAATATAAAGAGCTGGTTTTAGTCATAAAACACCTCAGTCTAACTCAGTGGCTTAGGTTTTTTTCCTCATTCCTTAGTAATGTTTTTATCATGTACAACACAGAGAGATTTCATTCAGCTTTCTTAAATATTAACTACTTACAGTTTGAGGATCAATCACTAACTGCAGCCTTCCAATAAATAACTTACCACTATTAGCCAATGAATAACACGTGCTCTCCTTTCTGAAAGGACATCACAATAGTACCTTGTCATTACTACACAGAAAGTCACAACTTGGTGGATTGGAAAAATCCCTTCAAATTTCTATGAAGGAGGAATTAGAGAACTGTGGAAACGTGATTTACTAAAGTATCATATAATGAAGAAAGCAAATGAAGAAGAAAACAATTCTTGGACCAAGAGTATTAAAGACTCTGAGGGAAAAAAAATGCTTGCAGACTGTGTGCAGTGTGCTTTGAAAATACTAAAGCATTTATAGAAAGAAGATGGGTCTCCTTTGGAAAGAATAGACGATACATTTCTGACTATTCTGATATGAAAGTCAGGAGGAGACATTTGAAACTATGCAGAACATTTGTGCTGCACTATTTTCTTTACTATAATTAAACCTTTTTTTTTTTTTTTTTTTTTTTTCCTTTTTTTTAACATTGCAATATTTGCAATTGTGTGAGTGGTCAGTTAAGACACAAGTGCAGGGTCCTTTCTCTGCATCCAAATCCAGTTCTGGTGATTCAGGCTACAAAGGCTGCAGTGAACTCAGAGAATTTCCATAGTCCAGGAGCAGAGCAGCTGCCACATTGCCCCCTCTGCATTTGCTCCCTGACCCCAGGGATAAAGTCAGGCCCAAAGCACGTCCAGCATTTTTAGTTACCAACACACTGAGCTGACAAGCCAGAAGGAAATTGAAACAGCCTACCCAGGGTTCTCATAATTTAAATGGCAGTGAGTGAGTGAGTGGGTCCATGAGGAACCAAGGTAGCACACAACAGGTTTGTTACCCTTGAACGTTTTGTAAAGCCTAAGACTGCCCAAATTTGAAGAAAAACAGCTTGAAGTCTGTCACATGATGGTAGCAAATCATAGCTATATAAATGTAATGAATTGATATGAATTAACTCTTGCATTCAGCATGAACATACTATATAACCACAATATTGCATGCCTGGGTTCTTGCTTACGTCCATGCTGTTTCAATACTGTGACTCGGCAATGAATAATTCTTAGATTCTTTTCCAACTTCACTGTGGTCTCACCACTGATGCATGTAGAACAACATGGGGAAAAGACAGCTATGATTGGTTCAGCCCCAGCCACTGTACATAGCTCTGAAAGCCAAATCTTCGGCCATTTCTGCTCCAAGTTTCACTCACTGATGGGAACTGCATTGCTAACGGTTTGTCCCTGGCCTGTTATTGCCAGAAGTGGCAAGCTAGAGGCATTTCTCAGGGACAGATGCTTCAAGAGAACTCACAGCATGCTGGACAAATGTCTGCATCAGCTCCTAATATCAAAACAGAGTGGACTGTTTGAGCCATGTCGTCAGCACTGTGAGCCATCAGAAATTAAGCAACCTGTCTTTATCTCCTAGGCTTTGTATGAATACTGGCAACAGCACCTCCAAGAGTGAGAACAATACAAGCTCATGGTATGATGCACCTTTCCTCACATAGGATTTGACCCAGAAACCCTTACCTAACCAAATCCTGACCAAGTATTACTTCTCCTCAGTCAAATCCCTAATGATTGGGCCCCTTCCTGGACTGTAATGCTGACTGGTGAGTTATACTCCTTCCTCTTTCCCCCTCAGCTTCACAATGGGCGTTCACAGGCCTGGCCTGGGAGGATATGGTGCAGATTCAGGTCAACGCACCATATAATCCCATTTCTTTAGGGCTTTCAGCCAGAGTGCTGAGGGTCCTTCGCAAACAAACATTTTTGAGATTTGTGTGTGGTTGTGAAGTCTATGAAGCAGGAATTTTGAGAAGTCTGTTATTTTTGGTAGATTGCAACGAATTTAACAAGCAAGGCAATTTAACCTTTCACTGTTATTTGACAGTTAGCTCATCTTCAGTAGATTTAATACTGCTAGGTTTTAAAGTAATTTAGACAACTGCCTCAAGTTTTGAAACTAAAAAAGGATTTCTTGCAACTGTTCTCTGTGGGTTTTAAAAACTGGTGGTTTCAAGCCATTTACTTTGAGCACTTTTTGGACATATTGTTTCTTCCGGCTGTGATGACTAGACTAAATATTAGGCTGTACACTAACAGGAGTTCCAGGCGGAGCCCAGTAAAAAGAACAGCTGGAGTGACTGCTGCTGCTGATCAGTCACCCAGCTGCACTTGCTGGAGGCCTCTGTAGCCTTCAGCCCACATGGCAACCACAGCCAACCTAAACTCACTTCCTGATGGTGAGGAAATCTTTCAGTGATATTTTCTACGCTTCTCTCATGCCAAGACAACATGAGGACAATAGAAGTGCATTTAAAATAGCTTTTTAAAAAATATATATAATTTATTTTTGCAGAAAGCAATTGTCAGAATCTGGCAAATGTACAAAACCTGAATTTCAGGAGGGTATCTTTGAATCACAGAACTTAAAATCTAAATGGATATCAAGATACTGCCAACAGCATGTTTGATCCAGATAAGAACTACTGTACCAAGGCATTCTCTGGTATATCTCAGCTGCTTGGATGTATATGTATATATGTATCTCTAAAACCTGCAATGTAGTTCATTCCAGAACTTAGAAAGTTCTTTCCAGTTCTACAGATGGGTGTGGAGGTCCTCACCTTTATATCCTGCCCATGCCCATAAAGGGTATCATAGAGAATGATTTATTAATCTCATCTTTATAACTGCTTTTTCACATGTTCAAAATCTCTGATTTCTTTCACACAGACTAATTTTTTTCTCCATTAAACTTTATTTTCCATGTAACTCCCATCATCTCTCCTGATCATTCCAATTTGTGATATCTAAGTCTATTATCACTAAGTCACTTTGTCAAAAGATTTTTGAAGGCATATGCCATTTGGAAGCATTTTTATGTTGTCTTCATTTCATTATAATTTGAGGCTGTAATTTTGGGAGGTGGCATTTCAGAGACAAGGAAAACTCTCTCTCTTCTAACTGCAGATTTGTCCTCCTTTTTTTTTAATAAGCTTCCCTGTCAATACAGCTTCTAACAACATACTTATTACTTGAGATTGAAATTATTTTTCTTCCTAACAAGATACGTAAGCATTACTGCAGATGGGCTGATAGAAATTTGTTTCTGTTACTGTCAAATAACATGTTAACTCCACAAAATTTCACTTCAATTCCGTTTGCTCAACACAACAGAAGTCAGCAGAGGTATATCATAGATGACTGTTTGCACCATTTAAGGTGTCTAAGCTTTGCATCAGAGGACTAAGTGTTTATGTGGTGTTTATTTGTGGTTCTGTTACTGAATTGCTGTCCAGAGCAGGGGCAGTTCCTTGATTTTCCATACGTCTGCATAACACTGAGTGAAATGGGGTTACTAATACATGGATGCAGCAAAGATTGCTAATGATTATGAGTATTTCCTTCAGCCTCATTCCAGTGCAGCACTTGGGCATCTGTCAGTCAAAAATGTTGTGCAAGTGTTTGGCAACCGTGTGTTAAGCGTCCTCTCATGCAGTAACAGCTATTGGCATTCTCAGTTGTAGTCTCTGTTTGTTTTACATAGTGATCAAAAGGCACATTGTATTGCCACCAAACTCTGAGTCACCCTCCCCATGGAACAATCGCCCTTTCTTTCCATTTGGGTGGAGATAGTGTATTTCTTACAAAGGGAGTGGTGCTCTCAATCCCAAATTCTCGATAATACTCCACACATTGAAGCGGATATTTTATACTGAAGAGACACTGAAAAGGAGGCATTTTGCATACAAGCTGGTAAGCTGTTGTCATTTCACTCCTATGATGACAGTAGCAGTTGCAATGTCTCTTTTATTTTTACTTTTTTTTTCCTCTGTGCAGTCATGGAGAGAGAGGGAAGGAGCTTCAGTATAGGTGGTGCTGCAAACTTTGCCAGAATATCCCACAGACCTCAGCTTTAGTAAAGGAAGAGAATCATGTCTTATTTTCTTTTCTTTTTTTTTTTTTCCCAGCCATGCTGTCTGTGCTTTGCCTTGCTTTCTAGTGATGATATCCTTCTGTGCAACCACTGATCTTACTTTTTATAAGGTTAGGAAGTTAGAGTGATATCAGGGTAATTTCCCTGACAGTGGCTGTGTGCCCACTGTGAAACTGACAGTGGAGAGGAGGAGGAACAGGAGAGGAGGGTGAAGACATTGTCTGCCTCATGCTAGTGGACAGGCTTAGACCATGAGGAGAATTGGGTTATCCTGCCACTGAGAAGGAAGGCTATGCAGCTGGATGCCACTTTCTTATGTTCCAGGATGAAAAGAAGGATGGAGGAAGGGGCAGGGTTCAGGGCCAGAGCCCGGGCAGAAATGGGATTCTGCTAGCTCCTCATTTCATAGCTACTATAACCCTCCCTCCACTCTGGGAAGGGAAGAGGGAAAGGAGGAGGAGCTGAAGGAAAGCACGGGAGGTGCTGAGTGGCATGTTGGGAATTTGCTGGAATAGATCAGTTGTACTGGAACACGTCTGGGGCCCCAGAGAGTTAGTCATAATACAAAATTTCAAAATATTTACAACTCACACTCACAAAAATGGCTTATGTCTGAGACTGGGGAATGCTTTTCCCACCTCCTGCTTGCAAGATAAATAGGGAACTGATGGAAAAAAATAAATAAATAAATAAATTACTACTCCATTAAACTGTTTAAGTAAAGGTAATCACACTAGCAAGTTTACTCAGGTGAGGCTTACTCTTGTTACCTGGATCTGTGAGCCTGACTGGGGCAGAGCTGGGACCTAGCAGGGCACTGGTGCAATGTGTTGAAGGCTTGACTCTGAACTTGGTAAGACCGTTGGGGACTTTCAGTAGACTTTATAGCAAATCAGAAAAAGTGGTACTGAGTGCCAGAAGATGGGCTTGTAGTTGGCTGCCATCTGAAAGATTATGCATTTGATTGATTTTAGCTACGTGGGGACAGAAGCTGGCAGTTGCCTTTAGCATGTTATATCCCTCAGATTAACTTTCATTCCTGTTTCCCAAATGTGTAAAAAATATGAGTCTTTTTATACATAGCCACATTTCTATACTACCTGTATCAAAAAATCATTACGGCAGCAAATTTTTCTGACATGATTTCAAATTTCTTTAAGATATCACTCAAAATCTCTGCTTGTGTGAAACTGGGTACCAGTGCTTTATCATCAGAGACCCAAAGAGATTCTCTCAGGGGCATTTCTGAGTAGACTTCTGTTGGGTGTTGCAGATAATTTGACTGCCATAATTCCTGTATGAGTGTGGAGTGACTGACAGCCACCAGTTACCTGGATTTCTCATGATTGCAGGAGACGAGTGACAGAATCACATTTGAGCTTTAAAGGAGGAAAGATTCTTGCCAGCCACCCTGACTGCAAAAAGGTCTTTGCTTGCCACAGCCACGCATCAAGTCACTCTGACCTGTTACAATTCCATAAATATAATCTAAGAAGGGAGATAATTGCTGTAGCTAATGCTGCAGGAAATAACAGGTCAATTCATAAATCATACTCTTCAGTATAATATAACCTTTGGGGTACGCACTATTCCTTTGATTGTTCAGAGCACTGTCCTAAATCACTTAGCGTTCAGGTCATGTTCCTGCAGACTGCAAGAACCAGCAAGTTCAGGCTAAATCCAGGGCTTTAAATTTACTGTCTCTGCCAATTACACTGACAGCTTTGAGGAAGCCAAGGATTTGGTAGAATGGGCTCTAATACTCTCACCAGAGTAAAACTAACCTGCGAGTAATGTCCAGATTAGACACATGCCAGGAGCCAGTGCCAGCTCATCACATCTGAAGCAGGGATGCAAAGTGGTGGAATGCTTGATGAATGTCTTCATGATGGATGTTTAGCTGTTCTTTAAAGAAATACAGATCTAAATACTTGCTTCTGAAAAGTCTGCCTCAGTCCTGAGATACTATATAGAAAAAAAGGGCTTGTCATAATCAAAAACATCTATTCCCAGGAGGAAAAAAAAAAAAAATGCCAGCTTGACTCAGTGTGGGCTAACATCAAGAGTCTGCTTGCCCTTGTCCTACGTGTTACTAAGAATCTGCTTTTTCAAAAGAAAAGGAAGCCTCTCAATGCCACTTCAAGGTACTGGGAGTCATTGGAAGAACAGAAGGTTCTCTGTAATGGCTGATTTTTTGTTACTGGTTGGTGTTCCTTTTTCACTCTTCTCCCTTTTGCACAAGTACTTCCAATTATTTTCATTTGTTTAGATTTTGTAAGGAAGTTGAATAATAACATGGTCAGATATATATATAAAAAAGCATTTAAGATGTTTACAGACATTAAAGTAAACACTTTGGTAGGGGGAAGGAGTTTTTGGTGCTTTTGAAACTTTTCACTGTGGAGTTCTATGAATTTCCTTGAAGTCCATGCACTAGGTGAGGTCAAATAATAACTTTCTGAGCCTGCCTTTGGTCCCCAGCTCCTGCTGTAGTCCCAGGTACTGCTACTCTTTAGGGCTTTTCTCCAGATTTGTGGATTTATCAGTGCTTTGCTTTCACAAGAGAAGGCACAACACTTGAGTTCATTGCCAATACAACTCTACTCGATTTCCTGTCCATTATTTCTATAGAATCATGGAATCATTTGAGTTGGAAGGGACCCTAAAAGGCCATCTGGTCCAACTCCCCTGCAAAGAACAGGAACATCTACGGGTGCTCAGTCTCGTTCAGTCTGACCTTGAATGACCCCGGGGATGGCCTCCACCACCTCTCTGGGCATGTAAGCTATACGAGAAAAATGACACCTCACTGCTAGATCAAAACTGTCTGCATCAAGACTTTTGTAGCCACAAGTACTGTGGTCTCACAATATGACAGCCTAGATCTATTTTCAGGGTACATTGCAAGGAAAGAACTAAATGCATCCACTGATTACAGTAGGATCAGGAGATAGTATATAGTTCATTGCTATTGATATAACAGCAATAGTATCAATAGCAATAGTATGAAGAGTTTATAGACACAATTTTCCCTTGTTTTATTTCTTGAAATGAAAAGGGAATTTTAAAGTTGATGAGGCTTGGGAGAGATTCAGTCTTTAAAAGTATCTGTGTATCTAGCTGGTACTGTGCACACAGGAGAGGAATACAAAAAAAGGCAGCTATGCTAGTTAAGAAGATAAAGGACATTGGCTTGTTTAGTCTAGCAAAATAAGGATAAATTAGTGCAGCAGGGATACAATTACTGTAGGTAAACACTGTGGGACATAACGTAAGGAAAGGAAGAGAGTACTTAAGCTAGCAGACAATGTTAGCTCAATAAAAATAGGTAAGAAGTATCCAAGAATAAAGCTGTTCCTCTCCATGCTGTATTTTGTTCCCAAACAGGAGAAATCGAGAATGCACTCCCACAACAGAAGGGATAAAAAGAAGAAACTTAATTGCTTGGAAAATGACCTTGATGAGCTCCTCCAAAACAGTACTGCTTTACACCTATCAGTTGGAAAAAGGAAATTAATTTGTAGAAGTATAAGCATTTTCGTTATTAAGCCTGGGTAGCAACAACTGAGAGGGAACAAAATACATAATTTTAATGGGAGCTGGTGGATTTAAATGGCAGAAGAGTCGATGATGAATCAGTCCTGCCAAACCTTTGCTACATCAGACTATTAAGGTAAATTGCCTTTTCCATTTCTCTACGGCCAACACGATTCCCCAGGCATTGGCTCTGGTGAGATCATTAGCCTGAACAAGGTATCCCTCTCAGCAGAATTAACAACCTCCAAACATTCAGAAATCATGAGTCAGGCTTTCTAATGGCACACAATTTATCTTTAAAAGGCCTTGTTAAATACATGTGTTTCTAATCTGATAAAACTTTAAATGCCGTTTTACTGGTCTTTTGCATAAAAGATCGGGATAGATTAAGATATGGCTAATCCTTAGTGTGAAATTCTGAAACGCTGCAGGCAATGGGAGCTCTGCTGGTGACTTGAATAGACCAGATGCTTCTTTTGCTTTCATCTCAGGAACTCTTGCTACTGGTGAATAAAAACCTCATCTGTGAATTGCGGAGGAAAAAAATAGTTTTCTTCCCTTGTAATTGAATAAATTGTTGACTAAAGGGTCAATTTGAAAGAAATTGTTACTTTGTATAAAAACAGAAATAAAACTTTTCAGCTTCCCAGCTGTTATTAAAATTGAATTAAGTTACCTAAGACGTCATTTCTTAGATCAAATGGAAGCAGGGTACATTTGGAGCATATTACAGACTAGCAAAAAAAAACAATCCAGGAGACTTTTCTTTGATAAATAAGATGATGTTGTGACTCATTTTAGTATCCCTTTTAGATTACCTCACTAGGTAATTTGTCAGCCAGTGAGCTGCCTTTCCCATGGAAGTTCTAGTAATTAGTGCAAGCTTACCAAAAGACCTAGGTCTTTTCTTTGGTGAAGCTTGATGCTAATGTGAACATTCATATCCACTACTACTTCAATGCTGCAGAGGAGCCAGGAGCAAATAAACATCCCATTGCAGCAGGATCTTGAGAGGAAGACCTCAAACTTGAAAAGAATTGGAGACTCAAGTTAGAGATAAGGATCAAGACAAAGCAAATGATGTAAGTAGCTGAGTACCTACATCCTATATCCATGCCTCGTTTCTGTATGGAGTATTTGCATGTTCCCTGGTACTTCTGATGGCCTGTATAAGTAAGACATGGCCTTTTGGACAACCGAATGGAGTATCTCACACACTTATATTTGTATTTTTAGTTCAGAAAGATATGCACATCTACAAGGTGAAAGACTGTAATGGATT